GCTAGTAGGTTGAAGGACATTACTACTAGTAGCAAGAAGCTAGTAGGTTGGAGGACATTACTATTAGTAGCAAAAAGCTAGTACTACTAGTAGCAAGAAATAGCAAGAAGCTAGTAGGTTGGAGGCCACTATTACCCGTAGCAAGAAGCTAGTAGGTTGGAGGCCATTAGTACTAGTAGCATAAAGGTATTAGGGAGGGGGAGGCTAAAAAACAAGAGAATACAAAAACAAAGTGGTGAAAGTCTGCTAAAAGGGCCTTGCAATCGTAGACTTCCCGTTCCTTGCGCCACTGTTTCCTGACAAACTACGGCGAACTGGTGCTTTTGGAGTCGGGCATCATGCCAGCGGCCACTGGGATAGCTCAGGTACAACAAAGGCTCAGTTTCATGATCTCCGATGGCCGAAGGTTGCCCTGGAGCCCAGTTGGTATAGACTCCGACAGAAGCTTCCACAGTGTCGAATGACCCATTCAAAAGCATTGAACCATCGTCCCAAAGCCAACGCCCTGCACTCGAACTTCCATACCAACGAGCGCCGAGCCACACTCCCATCCCACAGGGGTGGATTTGTACACCTTCTTTCCGAGCCATGGCGACGGCAGCTTCCAAGTTCAGCTGACTTTCGAGGCTCTTGGGCATCGGAAGAGGGGCTGGATTACAGGCAGCACGTGCCTCATCTTCATTTCCACAACCCAGGAACTCGTAGCCCCGGTTTGCAAAGGCCTTCTTCGAGCCACTCTTCAACATGCAAAGCGCAAAGGTTCCACCTGCACGTTCAACAAACAAGTTGGGAGCATTGGAAATCAGTACAAGCAAGCAGTTTGGCTCGCAATGGAAGATTCTACACACAAAAAACAACATAGAAACACGTAAGAGCTGCAAGCGAAGAACATATATATATATATATATATATATACAGTACTATGTTTTTGAATCCACGCGGGAAAACCACGCACTCGACCCATCTCTACCTCCTCTGGAGACGACCCCGGCAGTGAAGTTCGAAACCTCGAAGTCGGTCACGGTCCCGGTCCCGGTGGAGTCGTGAAAAGGTAGCACAGACATGGCTAAAATGCCTTCGGACGGAAAACCCGTTGTCTGAGCAGCAACGAGGATGTTCTCCCAGGCACCAGTGCAATTGGCTGCAAAAGGAACAATGGCAATGAGGTCTGGGCCCATGCCATAAGCTGACACCTGTCAGTCTCTTTCTCAAAGTTTAACAGTAAACATACTGCGTGAATCTGAATGATGCTTCTTGTAAAATCCAAAATCCGAGACACCATACCGCCTGTACAGGACCTACCAGTATCGAACAGCGCCGACAAGCTGGCCAAATGTGGCCAGTACTAGCACTAGCCGTCACTAGGCCTGAGGCAACGTGATGGGATGACCAGCCACTGCCGTGAAGCTTTGATCCGGCAAAGGACCAGCGACTTCCAGCTCCCCAATGGGGACGAAGAAGTCCTGTGGCAAAGTACACCGATGACCTGCGCTGCCCATGCACCAGCAGAGCTGATAAATTCCTTAGGCAAATGAGGCCGAGGGCAACGTGTTGAAGTCCGAGCACTCTGCGAAAGACTTTATAAAGTGTTTAAGTGCTTCTTTTTGGAAAAAATCAACCTTTTGTCATCTCGCTCAGCTTCCTACTGCATTCATCACTGGTTCGTCACCCCATGACACTGATCGACCACCAAGTTCCGCAGGTACGGACAAACCATTGCGGGGCCAACCGTCCACATAGACATCAGGTGGGATTGTGTCCACATCGAAGATGTTGTAGCTGGGCGCGTTAGGGCAGTACTTCAAGATATGCACCTCAGTGGCAAGGCCTTCTACCTGTTTGCTTGCAAGTCAACAAAACAGTTCAAGTTGGGGTACAAAAAGCAGGAAACTATTGAAACATGAAAACATTATGTTGATGTTTGGATTAGGGAAAAGGACTAACATAGCAGAGCACTACATCTCCATCTGCGAGTCCCCAACCTTCCAAATCAATAATGCTACAGATCTGGCCCCGGACGCAACGTCGGTAGTGGTTGGCCGCTGGCGCGACGATTGACAACGGGCCAACATCAGTTGCGAAGTCGTCCGTTTGTGTGCAGCCACCTCACGGGTTTCACATGGTGCCAATTGTGTTGAAAAACCGCCGGAAATAGCAAGAAAGAGACTAGGCGCCTATTGTCTTTGGGTTGTGTTTCAATGCACTTGCTTGTTTCTTGATCTTCGGTTTTGAGCTTGGTCAATGCGCGAATGCAAAAGGAAAGCTTGAAGTGATTGATCGCAGGTCATGATCATGCCAGCATGGTCAGGAGTGTCACTGATCACTTCCACAAATTAATTCCAAAAGTTTTGAACAACACCGGTGCTTGGCGCTTGGGGCCAGAAACATGTTGATTTTGCGGTCGTTGATTTTGTTCATCACCTGACGTGTAGGGCCCCCGCGTTCACCGAACAGTCTCAAAGACACTTATTTTTCTTTAGACCTTTAAACCGTTTGTATTTCTATAGACCTTTAGAACCTCTTTCTTTAGACCTTTAGACCGCTTTCTTTGTCTTTGGACCCTTAGACCTCCTTTTTCAGCTTTCAGACTCTTAGATATGTTTTTTCTTTAGACCTTTTGAACAATTGTATTTCTAGAGACCTTTGGACCTTTGGATCGATTGTATTTCTATAACATTAGACCTTCATTCTTCTTTAAACCTTTAGACCTTGAGACAATTCTTTTCTTTAACATGAGGTGCTGCGTGGGCCTAGGCAAGTGCAAGAGGGAGGGTTTGAACCGAACGCGTACACTGGGAACATGGGAGACCTCACGACACCTCGAGAGGAATGTGGGCAAAACCGGAAACCGAAGGCTGCGAAAACCGAAAAAAACACACAGCTTGTGTTCACCTCGAGCTTTCATTTTGACAACGATCAGAACCAAGTGTCTCGAGAACACATTCCATGGATTTGTATAATTTTGTATCTGCCATTTAAGAAGACTGGCAGACAAATCCCGGTCCTGAATCCCCTTGTCGACACCAGCACATGCGGTAGGTGCCCAGCGCGGCTGTAGTTGGATGAGCAATCACGAAAAACTGTCCACCACCGGAGGCCGCTACAGGGAGCTCTGGTGTCAACCCAGCAACACCACGGATGGTCATGTCGCCGCTGGCCTGGCCTGTCCTTGGAGATGAGCCACGTCAGCACTGTCAACTATGTAACTATGGTGAGTCTCCAAAAAACTGCCCCAAAGACCAAACAAAAAAAAGAAACGCAGAGTGGCTTTGAACAAAAAGCTGCCGTGGTCTTTCCGAGTTGATTCCGAGGGTCTGTGGCATGCGACACTCATCCAAGATCAGCAGCAAATCACCATCTTTCAGGCCAATCCCTTGGATAGTGTCCTGGTTTGAACCAACATGCCAAAAATACCTACAAATCACTTAATTCAATGTTTTTTCACCTATATACTGAAAGAATTTGAACAGAAAAAGGTGAAGCTTTAAGCGTCAGTGTCTACCGCGCAGCGCTGATTCTGAGTGCATTTCCGCAGTTGTCCAGTGAATGGGCCCTCTAAAGTGAGAACTCCAATCTCGAAGCCAAAGTCGAAGCTCTGCTCACATTGGGCACCAGCACCCCGCGGAGTACAAAAGCACAGCTTGTAGTCACCAGCGCTCGCAGTCACTCTTCCACAGCCAAAGTTGGAAGACACGCCTTCAATCTCATCTGGTGTAACCTGGCGTCGCTTACACATATAAATAATATAAACATATTAAATACGATTAGATATTACAAACGGTAGTTGAAACATGTTACTCTTGCGCTTGTAGATCCTATCAAATGGCTTTGCTCCGTTGGACCAAAGGGACAGTGGCGCAGCTGAGATCGTCTGCATTTTGTGATTTGAAGGTCACAATGCCTTGTGTGAAGCCCCCTTGTGGAAATCCCACAGCAAAATTCACAGCACAGCTGTCCATGGCTGCCACACGGTCCCAGGAATCTAAATCTCGACCCTCAATCCCTGTGACGTCGCAGGATTGCCCACGGACACAGGTGCGAGTCTGATTTCCTTCGCAGAACACATCTTTTCCACAAAAATGACATAGAAAGAAATACAGTCACTTGCCTCCACTAGACTTGTAGGTTGTCTAAATGGAAGGGAGTGCGCTACTCTATACAAGCCATGAATAACACTGGCTCTATAGCGTTCTGGAGGTTTCTGTTCTTTTTTGGCTCTGGGAGGCTTCGTCGATTTGACATTGTTGCTCTATTTCTCAAAACTTGTTAAACCGTTAAACCGAGCAAAAGAACTAAATGTTTGAACTCAACATGAGCTCAGCAAGTAATACTATGGAATAAAAGCTAAGGATTTTGAAAATTGAAGGAACGCACAATTGAACTAAAACCGCTGAAACAAACATGTGCTTCGGTTGGGCCCGGAAATGAAGACCACGGAGATTTCCAGGGGTACTGCGCCATCACAGCCGCTGGCGCACCAACAAAGGACGTATCGCCCGACGATGGCTTCTAGGATTCGCCCTTCCTGAACAAAGAATTCCGACCAACAGAAGCTGTTTTCGTCCAACGTTTTGCCTTCAAAAACTTTCGTTTCTTGTAGACAGCGCGACGAAGCACCACTAGTCGCTACAGTCACCACACACACATTAAAGTCAGCAACCTGGCAAGCTATTATACCGTGCTGGGTCTTGTTGTTTACTCAACGGTTTTAGACAGCTACAGGTTAAAAATCGTTTCGACAGTAAGTCATTGCTGTTACAGTTACATGTGGAAATCGCCCTCAGTGGTGTTGCTGTTTGTCGTGGCGGTGGTAGTGCGACAGTTCACCGTCGACCGATTAAAGCGGATCGCACAAGTCCGATACAAAGCCGCAAGCGATTGAACTCGTACTAAGCTACTTTTGCTGCAACACCAAGTGTTGAGATGTCAAGCGGCCCACAACTTGCGACTAAACAAATCGAAAACTTCTCCAATTATAGGTTCCTTCGTCCACCGTCCACTTGGCGCGCGTGGCTCTGGGAAAAAGCGTCGGGGCAAAGTTGAGGGCATTTTGAGCCCGAGAAGGGAGATCCACGATGCCGCTCTTACACTCCCTGCGGCACCCTGCGCTTTCCTTCTCCTCTTTCTCCTCTTGACAGCTTTCCGGTCCAAATATTTCCTATTCACACTATCAACTCCTGTCACTGTCGAAGTTTGAAGCTCCGTCAAAAACTTGGTCTCCATGGTGGCGCCATTGCGTAACGGATGTCTCTTGACGTAGGCAGAATCGGACCCTTTGAGTTTGATCTTGATCTTTGAGATAAATTTATATAAATCTCTTGATTGATTGCTGCACAAACTTTGAATCTTATGAAACTCAGCTTCCCTGAAACAGAACAAGCAGTGTACACAGCTTTGCGTGCTTTTGCGCATAGACCCCTTCCACTTTCCATCATGTCTTTTTGGTTTCTTTTATGTTTCTCTTTCACTCCGACCTGTGGATTGCCCCATTTCAATCGTTGCCGGAGCCCTGAGGTGTCTCCAGCACCGTCATCCACAGCGAAGCCGTCCGTGGTGCCGTTTGGGACGCCCAAGGCGTTCCGAGTGCCACTGCCGCAGCGCGTGGCAGAGAGCAAGCCCTGAGAGAGGGAGGCAAAATCGACTCGAAAAGAACTTGAGATTTTCACATCTAGACTTTGGTGGGTGCCCGGGGTAGGCCACTAGGGCCGCTAGGGTCTTTAGGGTGGAGGCCATCGCATTTAGGGTGGACATCTCAACTTGGCCTGGTCATCCTGTAGTCCAATCCCACTGCTGATGGAAGCTTCGCACGCTGAACCGCGGAAGCAGCGTGCGGCCGCACGGCCCCATACGAGTTTCAGGAGCAATGCGTCATCAGCGCCATAGGCAACGAGTGCAGTCTGCCCGAGCTCTGGGGTGAATCCGTCGGTGGTGGAGCCAACCAAGTACACATGGCCACCTCATCGCAAAAAACAAAGGAATAGAGGAAGGATGAGGAAGGCAGCGGCTTGCGTTTTGTTTGCATTTCTTGCGCTCGAGATTGCCAGTGCAGATTAGAACAGCTCGCGGACCCCAGTGGCCTGTATGCCACGCCCTTTGCAGGTTCTGAACTTTCTTAGTCTTGACCTGGCTGGAATTAAGCGCTGGCATTTCAACGGCGCACTCACTTTGCACTGGCTCCAATCTTTCTCAACGTTCTTGACAACACAATTTGGAGATACAAACAAAAGGACGTGCAGGGACATGAGAGGTCAGGAGAAGAGAACAAACAGTGAAGCCACCTTGGGTGACCCTACAAAGCTTCGGAGACTATGTACTTGAAGTACATGCGAGGAGAGCTGCGCAAATGCGCACCCACAGGAATACCGTGGCAGGTTTGTGTTTTGAAATTCGGTATTTGTTTTCCAAACCTGACTGCATCGGGTCAGCTGAGAAGCTGTTCCCGATTTGCTTGGCAAATGGGCCGTGCTCAGCTCGTAGGTGCACAAGCCCACCTTTTGTTTGCTGTTGGCCTTTTGCTCGACTTTTCCTAGGATGTATATAGGCATGCGCAGTCTCGCATCCATTTTTGATTTGGTTGATTGGAAACAGGGGCTCGAAAGTTCAGCTGATGCTTCAGCTGGGCGAGGGCCTGCTTTCCACAATGGCTTGTGTTAATTCGGAGCATGTTGCTGCTACTGGCTTCGGCTATATTGTATATGCAAAGCAAAAACACACATTTCTTTCAACATGCAAAAGTCAACTGCCAAGAATGCAAAATACACACCAGGACCAGCTCTCATCCCATTTCACTCTTTGAGAACCAAATTTAGGATCTAAAGCGTGGAGCCAATTTGTGACTTGTGTTTCATTGTGCAGACTGCGGGGCAGCTTTTCAGTTTGCTCCGTCAAAGTAAGCCGCCCTCTTCGCGGCTGACTTCGGAGGGCGAGGTTGCAACGTGCGAACATTTTCGATGCCCAGGAGGCAGACTCCCTCACAGTGGCAATGCCGATACCTGGATCTAGACTCACACAACCGTCATCAACCGTCCCTTGCTCAGGGGTGAATTGAGGCATAAGAGCCTCCAATATGAACCACAAGTCACATGCAGGCAATAGCAAAAGGAAGTGCGCAACAACCAAACACACACCCGCCAGCCCACGCCACCCCAATGACAGTTTCTTCAAAAGGTCATTCAAAGACAATGCTGCGAAACCGATGATCATATTAGATCATATTAGGATAACCGTGGATGAACAATGAGAAATTCACAGGCTGCGAAAGAAGCACCCTGCCTTAAACACCTTAAACGACCATCATCTGCATCCCTCTCCGGATCTAAGCTTCCTGCCGGCGGCTTCTGCTGCCAAGCCCAAGAGTTGTTGATCCCCCGTGCTCCGCAACTGCTTCTGCCAACCTGCGAAGCTGCCGTCGGTGGCCGACAAGGTCATCAGCCAAGCGTCGACGTGTCCCAACTCTGTCGGTACTGATCCATCGGGCGTGACCACATCGTTGATGGACTCTGCTTCGGGCCAAAAGGTTCGAGTCGTGCCCGTGAGCAGCAAATCGCTCCTCAAAGGGATGAATAACGGTAACTAAGTCACCAACTATATAAAGGTTGCCACTAATTTGACAAACATCGGACATCGCTAGTCCGTGCAGCATTGTGAATGATGCACAAAGCAACCTAAGAGCATGAAAAAGCAAAAAAGAAAACCACAAAAAACAGGGACTGTAACACAGTGCTACAAACACGAGGATATTTTTAGCAGGCTGAGGGTCGGGGGACTGTTGCAAGCTTCTTTGTCACTTTGGGAAGCGGTGTGAGGTTTGAGGTCATCGGTGCACAAAATTTGATTTCCACACACCAGACCAACTTGGGTACATAGCCAGGCATCACATGGCACTTCTCAAACAAAGGCCAATATAAACCCACACTTGGATGTGAAGTGGCATGGTTAGCCCAATCTACTGGACACTCAACAAACATTCTTCCATTGGCATGATGCATGAAAGTGTCAACCCACCAAGAAGAGAACACATATACAAAACGACGAATTCAGACATTTTCAAACATTGTCGTTTTTCACCGCAGCCTTCGCTCGTTTCGAGTCCATTCGCCGAGGTGCTTTTGCTCTGTAAAGCCCGGCAGGAAGACGATGCCGTGGACGTACTCGTCCTTTTCAGTGCCAGGCATGGCCGTCCATTGCCATTCCAGTTTCCTGACACCGAGTGTGTCGCGTGGTAGGGAAGAAAAGAAACAAAAGAAAAAAGGTGAATAGAACACAAATTAAAGGACCGGATAACCCCACATGTGTCTTCCCAAACTGATAGAGCAAAGATATCTCATGCAAAAAGTCATGTTATAGATAACACGAGAAGCTTGCAAGATTGAAGCGGAGTGCAGCAAAGGGACATGCAAAGGGAGATCCGGGTGAAGGCGACCAAAAGCGACAACCGCGGCAAGAGCAACAGCAAACCCTCCAGACTGCACACTGTCACAGGCAGAGAGAGAGAGCAGGCCGAAGGCGAGGCGGGAGGCGGTCCCCACAATGTGGGGAGCCAGAAGTACTTTTAATGAACAGAATCTCTGAACGAACACAGTACTCAAATTCAATGTTAACACAAAGCACCTAATGATCTGAAAGCATCTTTCTGTTATCAGCTTGGCAGTTGGCAAAGCCAAGCTTCTCATTAAACTTCATCACAAAGCCGTCAAAGGCCCCGGGCTTGGGATCAGCGATTTCACCAAAAGGGTCCCAATCGAAGAACAAGTTGCCGTCCGAGTAGCCCGCCAAATAGATGCCTAGGATGGCAATTTTTCATCTGAAAGTTGGGGTCCTGTGAATGTGCATATGTCGCAGAGTCGTTCTTTGTATCTTAGTCTTGCACACTGAGTACAAAAACACCTTGAATTGCAGCAGCAACCTTTCAGAAAAAGGATCATGAAATTGTTCAGCTTCCATGTTCAATGCTACTTATGCACCTACAATGCAAACATCGAATGCACGACATGTCCGTGATTCCATTTCATTCAACCAAAAATTCAGAATATACCCCACAAGCTGCCTCTTGGTGGCAAAAGTCTCGCCATGGACTAGCAATACTCAAGCACATGTTATCTGTTAGTCAGCACTTTCAGGATCACAGAGTCCCGTCCAGAAGAATACAACTACATACTAGCTTGCCTAGAAAACACTGCTACCAATCTCTCACACAGAACAACTCAGAAAGCAGTAAAGCATCATTACGAGCCCCCGCAAGGACAAAGAGACCCACAGTGCCTCCAAACATGACCAGCACCCACCAATACCTGCGGATATTTTGGACCTAGCCACTACCGTCGGGCGCAGAGGCCGCACCCGTGGCGACGTCTATGCCACCCGAACCCACCTGCGTCCCACGCTCGAAGTTGGCAGTAGGACCAATGCTGAAGATCGTCAAGAAAATGTCAGGTGTCCCCACCTTGGTTTGGCAAACTGTAAACTGTGATAAACATGTGAAAACCGCTTTTCCGGACTAAATGAACAGCTTGGAGAAGAAAAGTGCGAAAAACTGATTTCGGCTTCGCTACGAACTTGTTGGCCAAATACAGGTGGAAATCCGTCTGCCCGAAGCACAGAATCCGCTCCCGGCCATCGGTGGCGTCGCCAGTGTAGAGGTGGATCCCGGCCAGGATCTCGTTGCCTTCACTACCGATGACGCCAGCCCACCTCGATCGGTGGCAAGGTGGTGAGGGTGATAGGACCGGACTGGAACAGTTCAGCTCCGGCATCAAAAGATTTCACACAAAAACACCAAGTGCAAACAGTATAAAGTCATTCGACAATTGTTTTGAAGGCAATCACAACCAACTGTCGAAATGCGAGCGATAAAAATGAGAGCACTCGAAACACTCGGCTCTTTTATGCAGATGGGCTGGGTCTTGCCACTGTCCTTGTGCAAAGTCGGGGCTTTATGGTTCTAGCCCAGACACACGGCGATGGCGCACACGGCTAGGATCGGCGAAAGGGCCACTGACTTGCTTGCGCCTTCGTGCATAAGCTGCGGAATACCTTTGTGAACCGTCCTGACAGCACGGGTTGGTCAATCTGCATCACCTGGAACCTGTTCATTCTCACACTCATTGTTTTTCAGCTCTCTTTGCTCGGCGATGCTCTTTCAATCTCTGATTTGCGGCTGTTTGCACCAAAGAGAAAATTCCTGTTCTCCAAAAAATCAAACAATGTAAATTTCTCCGCTCCAGCGTTGGTCCAAATAATCGAAAATTGTTGTTGTCCATCAATCCACCTCGTGAAAGCTCTGGGTTTGCGAGCTGTCTCACGCAGTAAAGCACCTTCGGTTGCCATGCGCTTGTCAGAACTTGTGCTCAAGTAATCGAAGACGCTTCTGGCGTCTGTGACATAAACTCTGTCACGTTGTTCAATGACGGTAGGCCAGATCTAAATTGGAAAGAAACGCTTTGTGCAACAAAACTGTCACCCAATCTCCAGCTTCAACGGATTCCGACAAATGGCTTGCTTCAGCTGCCAAAGTGCTTCTGCAAACACGCTTTGTCTGACTACTATGGTAACAAACAATGTTTGCACGAACGGCCTCACCTTGCAAGATACCTGGGTTTGCTATCAAAATGTAGTGACCTCCAACACTGCGGTATCGAAAGATGTCGTTCCCCTCTGGCATGCCATTTGCGTGACCTGAATCTGCAAGATGTACAACCACACCGTTCTCCAAATCAACGTCTGTCCAATATCGCATCTTCACGCTGGCTCCACGTCGAGCTGCTTCAACTGCATGTTTCAAGCGAATCAAACCTTTGACTGTTGCGGATTTCTTACAGCGTTGCACACAGCCATTTTCAAATGCCAAATCACTGCGCAACTGTCTGGTGATCCAACCAAGTTCGCCTGCGCTGGAATTGAAAGGAGAATCAGGTTGACTGCTGCGTTCTTTTGGTACATGTACCTCTACCCTGCCCAACTCATAGTTTTTCATTGTCACATCAATGTGACCGCCAGAAACACTTATACTGAATATCTTCAACTTGCTTCAACTCACGACAACGAAACGTAAAACTTAAACGATGATGGGTTGCAAAACCCAATGCTTTGGAACTGTTGCGGAACAACTCTTGTTCAAGGCCTGGTTGGACTCCCTTCTAAATCATCAACACGTGTCACGAGCACACCATTCAAGCGACCGCTGTCATCTCTGTGATAGAACATGGCAGGTTCTAATCTAGACTCTACCCATCCGTCGCTCTCCAAATGCTCCTTCAATGCAAGCCAGAACAATCTTGCTGCTTCTGCAAAACTATATATTGCCTTGCGGGCTTCAAGCAAAACTCCCTTCTCAAGGCCTGGAAGGCCGTCTTTCGGCTGGTCAGGAAAAATCTCACGCTCAAGAGCTTTGCCACAAAAATAACAATGCTTCACATCTTTGCTGATCAAAATGAATTTGTAAAATGCCACTAGACACAAAAGCACGCTCTCTGCAATCTGTGATGCGGTTGTAGCGTCACGCCGGAAGCGACCCAAGCTTTTGTTCTTAAACATCTTGCGCAGCAAGCCGTGACTTTGCTTTGAAAGGATCTGACGCTGGATTCTCAGCTTTGTTCGTTCTCACCCAGCGTGTAGGAATGTTGAGCTCCGGTTTGGACTTCCGGACATCATCACTAACTTCAGGCGTCAAAACATCACAAGCCTCCTTGCCCATCCAGCCCGCGCTGACCTGAACCATCTTTTCCAACAAACAATTCACGCGCGGCGTCGTCAAGATCTTTCAAATTAATTTCCTTCCGACCCTTCTTCGCAGCATGGTGGTTGCAGCCACCAGGGCTAAGAGGTGTCGGCTCCGTGTCTTCCTGCGTCGAATGAAGTGCTTCCAAACGATCAAAAACATTGCGTTCAAATCCAAACATGAAATCATCTTGAGAAATGTTCAACTGTTTGTAAAATTCACATTTCAATGCATTTATACTGTGAAAGAGCTGCATCTTCCCAAACACGTGGATCTGTCGAGACTTGGTACGAAAACATTGCTCCATCCGCTCTGTCCTCAATCACTTCACGAGAGGTCCTGGTTTCAACTGGTGGAACCTCCCGACGGTAATCATATTCTGTTGGCTCATAGCTCATCAGATCCGGATCGACCTGTGAGGATATCCACGGGGTCTGGCGCTGAAGGCTTCACTGTTGACGAAGTCACTGAAACTGCCTTCTTGCTCCTGCGCCCTGCTCTCTCCGGACCTCTCTTCTTGAAGAATTCGCTGGACCGCACCATTCTTTTCCTATCTCTGTCAGACCAATCGTGGCCTAATCTTTTCTTCTTCTCGTCCTCTGTCTCCGCCACAGGTGGCGGTGCCACGGGCGACGGTGCTGACGCCTCAGGTTTCGATTCTGCTTTGTCATCAAGCTCCTCTTGAAAACCCTCTGTCGGTGGAACCAACTGTCTTCTCAAATCCAAAAAGGCGTTCGAACTAATGGAAGGTGTTGCATCAAGAATCAAGAGGTCTGTCTCTCTGCTTGTATAATCCTCCAACGTCGAACCTCCAAATCATTCGCTCTGCTCTGCGACCAAAGTGCCACTGTGACTCAACCAATCAGCGCGTGAATTTGCATCAACTCCAGACATGTCACAATAAAATACAACTGATCCGACAGGGAAAGGTCCTCTTGTAGGTCGAACCTTGCGAAGTTCAGCGCGTCTCAAAACATCGCTGTTGGCTGTACGAACATACGCCTCTCAAGCTGCTGTTCGAACCTGTAGCTGTCTGTGGAAACGAGTGCCAGGTGTCAAAGCTGCTGCTTGCGCACCTATTCGAGCCACTTCGGAGTCATCCAACAAATCACCTGGCAAGTGAACTGATCTACCCAGAACCCACTGCTCTGGACTAAACTCTGCTCTGCGTGCCAACGAGTTCTTTGCTTTGCCTGCTCGAACTTGTTCTAGGCCCGACATCTGCTGCGACCAACAAAGTGGTTTCCAAATGCCTTTCCAAGTTCCACCGTGCCTTTTAACGGCGCCCAAATGCCACGGAGATGCTTTCCCCGCTGCGCTCACCTCACAGCCTAATAACTCATCCAACATTCTCGCGAACTCTCCAAGAAAATACCTAGTCTGATCGACAATCACACCCTTCTCTGGAAGGCCACTTGAAAAGTTGTAGCAATGTCAAGGATGTTCAACCAAATCCGTGAAGTTCCATCAGCGTCTTTTGCCTCAAAAACGTCCAGCCCAACAAGAACTCCAAATTCATCAACGACTGGAAGTTTGGATGGTCTTGGAGTTTTCGGCTCCATCAGCCTAGGCCACTCTGCACATCTGAAAAACTTGCATGCTCTGATTGCTGCTTCGCTTGCACGACTAAAGCGAAGTGCACGCATCATGTCAGGTAAACGTGCGTGGCCCAGATTGACATGCACACGGCGAAGTGCCAGCCTGAGTTCTCGAGGAGCACGTTGCCACTGAGCTTCACGTTCTGCGTTCTCATCCTCCTCCGTTGGTGGCATCTGGTCTCGCCTGCGCATCTTGGCCAAAAAGCAGGCTTCGCACTTGAATTGCTATATTGGAGGTCTGGACCATTCCTCCCAACCTGCTGTGATCGCATCATCATTGTCCATCTACTCTTTCAGCAACGATGGTTGAGCTCCTGTAAAATGAGGAATACCATTGGTGTCAACAACGATCATCATCATCTTTGTAAAGGAACCTTGCCAACAACTGATGAAGCCACTGTAGCGGAGTGCGGTTGGGAGCCGGCAGCTGTCGAAATGCGAACAATAAACATTAAAGCGCTCGAAACACTCGGCTCTTTTATGCAGATGGGCTGGGTCTTGCCACTGTCCTTGTGCAAAGTCGGGGCTTTATGGTTCTAGCCCAGACACACGGCTATGGCGCACAAGGCTAGGATCGGCGAAAGGGCCACTGACTTGCTTGTGCCTTCGTGCATAAGCTGCGGAATACCTTAGTGAATCGTCCTGACAGCACGGGTAGGTCAATCTGCATCATATTGGTCACACGGCTTGACGGTCCAATCAAAAGCCAAAGCTTGTACAGGCCACAGATTTTAAGAAACAACCACACACACATAAACACCTACACACATAGCCGGACCATGTGCCCGAGCTGCATGAAGACCAAGTCATTTGTGAATTTCACGATGACCGCATCCTGGCGCAGAACCAGATGGTCGGGTGTGGGCTTGGCTTTGCAGAGGCAAACCAAAGAACACAATGACACAATACGAAAAGGTCATCTGAGAGGTGCATGCAAGCTGTCTGAAGACCCAAATTCCCTTGAAACGTGCGCTAAACTAGCCAACCTCCTCCCGGGCCTTTGCAAAGGTTTTTTTCATGTTGGAGTAGTGGCAGTGGTTCTAAATGGCAGGGAAAACGCCGCAAAAGAACTTTTCCATCTTGTCTTTTCTTTGTCTTGTTTCGAGGCTTGAACGAGCTCGTCTCTGGTTTCCAGCGCAAGTCTTGGGTGAAGATACCATTTGAGCATACCGCTAGTCCATCCCAAAAACATTGCCCGAGATTGCTACTTGGCAACGAAACACCCGCATTCAGGCAGCATCGCCAATGAGTGAGCTCTAGACTCTCGAAGAAGGACAAAGGATGTTTTGGAGATCAAGGTGCACAAGACGGTCTTAGGTTGGAGGCCATCGCTAGTAGGTTGGAGGCCATCGCTAGCAGGCTGGAGGCCATTGCTAGTTAGTAGGTTGGAGGCCATCGCTAGTAGGGTGGAGGCCATCGCTACAGTAGTACGTGGGAGGCCTTTGCTAGTAGGTCGGAGGCCATCGCTGGTAGGTTGGAGGTCATCGCTAGTAGGTTGGAGG